CTTCCGTGTGCAGTGTACTAATACTACTACAACTACAAAACAAAATATACAAACTATTTATTGACTAATAAGTTTAAAAGCCGTGCTATTCATATCCATTCACCGTGACCCCAAATGATTAAATATGCGTGTTTATAGAGAAAATAATGGTAAAAGTTATAACATTTCTATAAAAATCAATAATCATTTCTGATAGACTAATAATTGAATAAACAATTTGATGATATTAGATGGTTGGAGGCAATCGGCGACAGGAAGCCTTGTACAGTAACCAAGGTTTCGTGCTAGGTGGCAATCATCAGTCAGTCAGTCAGCAAGGCATATCTTGAACCTTGAAGGGACAAACCATGTTCGTTAACCCTTGCATCCTGCCTATTATTCTCTATTCTTCCCCTGTAGTTTTTCCAGGGCTACTGAATAAAGACTACACATCTTATTACGTAGGATGTTAAAGGTTGTCAGCAGGATGGTAAGCAACGTGCCACTTAACCAGCTTGCTAATATTCTGGTTGACAGGCACATGGACTCATGTGAAAAGTGAGCTAAATCCATTCATTCTATCTAACTCACACCACCCCTCTTCATTCACAACTCTCCCCGTATATCTCATCAGGAAAAACCAGAAGCCTATATAGAAAACTATATGCTCGCACTAGTAAGTACAAAAACTCAACCATATCCTACTTGGCCCGTGTTCTGTGCGATAAACAAAGCATTAGGCGTGATACCTAAAACTTATTAAATAGTCAGTAGAACAATTGGATCTCGTCTTTCCAACTCATATCATTTATAGGTACAACGTTTTCTTTCTTTCTTTTCCTTTTCTCTCTTTGTTCCTCTCTTCCTTGCAAACTCTATTTAAAACATTATTATTCTTCGCTCTTTCACACTCTGTATATCTCGACCATTTTGTTACCACTTACGCCAGTAAATATGCTAGCATCTACTTTTCTAACACCTTCAAACATTCTGTTCACTTTTGGCCTTGCTACCGACCGACATGCCAATATGTTGTTGTCATAATGAACTGAGATTACCCTTAATCTATGTAGAATTTTATTTATTGTTAATGTACAAACTGGATGCAATACTGTAGTAAGATGCTGAGAATTCCATTCTGTATCACAAGTACTGTTTTGGAATAAAGCAAATTATTATTATTATGTGGGATTCGAACCCGCGTCACCCAGTGTGCAGTGCTGCAGTCAGACACGTTACCATTGAGTTAGCTATTCGGGCTGGCTCGTGATTGACCTCTTGAATAAACAATTATCGAAGATTTTAAGTACTTTTCTAAGCATCAATACATGGAATGAATGAGAATAAATTCGATTATTAGATAAAGTTGATTTGATATAACATACACGGGCACACGGGGCGAAACACAAACATAGAGTAATGACACAGTAGTCAATATCTGGATGATGTTTCGAGCGCAATTTGTAATCATACTGATGAAGCAGTTGAAATAGTCCTTCTAGATGAAAACGATGACAAAAGATAACATAGTCTTCCGAACAGCTTGAGCTGCAGTCTGCAAATGTTTAGCATACGACTCGATCCCGCCAAATGCAAGATGATAACGCTACAGAACTGGACTACACTGGACTGCTCCTAGCTTAAACATAGGGAGTGAAGTGGTTGGCGAGGCGTGCTGACCATCACTCTAATTATTTGGGAAGGTGCATCAGCCAGTGTCAGTAGGTTCATCGCTGATGAAATCTCAGCACGAATACAGAAGCTTCGTTTCACATATGCTAGTTTATACCATCTCTGGCTTAGTAGACGTGATATTCAGCCAGCTATCGATCAAAGGACATGTGTACTGCTCATCAGTCCGATCCGTCCTCCTTTATGGCTGTGAGCAACACCTGACCATTGAGAGTGGAAGATATGAAAAGCCTGGCTGGCTAGCTGTCTTTAATCTTAGGCACTTGCGTTCTATCTCCCATGTGAAGTGGTATAGTAGGGTTAGCAATATTGAGATTAGGCACCACTCGAGTGCGAATTCGATCAATACGGCAACGATAGGAGAATAGTGAGAACTGTTGCTGAGCAGTACACATTTCCTTTGATCGATACCTAACTGGATATCAAATCTACTAAGCCAGAGATAGTACAAACTAGCATATGTGAAACGAGCCTTCGGTATCCGTGATGATATTTCGTCAGCGATCAACCCGTAGTGTGCTGCCTGATGCAGCCTACCAAATAATTGAAGTGACGGTCAACACGTTTCGCCGCCAACCACTTCAGTCCCTATGTTTAAGCTAAGAGTCAGTGTAGTACAGTCCTGTAACATCATCTTACGCTTGACGGGAACGAATCGGATGCCAAACATTCAAAGACTGCTGTTCAGTACTCAAAGTGTTCAGAAAACTGTGCTTTATTTTGTCAGTGTCTTCATCTACGAGGAACGAAAGCCTAGTAAATAAAAAGTCTACTCTTAGGCTATTATTAATAAACTTGAACAAACGAAGAACAACAATTGTACCAGGATGATAATATGAGCTCATCTTTTATTATTTAATCAAGGATTCTTCTCAACTGAACGATAAAAAAATATGAATTACACTAAAGATATGAACATACTTTTCCACGACCATAAGGAGTAATTGGTAAGGATTAAAAGTAACATTAGTTCGGAATGAATTAACCGATTAGGAGTTACAAACACTGACTATTTATAGAATAAATGGACAATTAGGCTTGGAAACAAAAAAACAGGGTTGCGTATATATGTCTGTATAGAAACAACAACAATAACAACATTTTGAACTGATCCATCGAAGAAAGATCAAATCGAATCAATGGAAAGACGGATTACAAAGAAGCTAAGAGAACTTTTAAAGAATAAGTTGATTGACAACAACATATATAAAGCGAACTGAAGCCTAAGGGATCCAGATTGTCTTACCTGTACGGCTTGCCAAAGATGCATAAGCCTGACATCCCTATGAGACCAATATTATCTATGATTAATTCGCCGTATCACAAAGTAGCTAGGTGGTTAGCAGAAATGTTAGAACCAATCCGTGGTAAATTAACAGTCTACAGCCTGAAAGACACATTCCAGTTCGCTAAACAATTAGAGAATATAAACATCTCAAATAAATTTATGGTGTCCTTCGACGTGTCTTCACTGTTTACAAAAATCCCATTGGAGGAAACAATACAAATTATATGTCAACATGCCGAACTTATTCCTCTACCCAAAAACGAACTCAAACAACTTTTACTTATGTGTACCAAAGATGTACAGTTCCAGTTCAACAACTCTCTACACCGCCAAATTGACGGAGTTGCCATGAGAAGCCCCCTGGGTCAGATTCTGGCAGATATTCTTATGGGTATTCTAGAACAAACAAGGTTAAAATCCGCAATCAGTCAGACAAACTTCTATACCAGGTATGTCGTTGACACTTTCGTCATTTGTAATTCTTTCAATGATGCATCTCAAGTATTAGAAGTCTTGAATAGCGCCCACCCTAATATTAAGTTTACAATGGAGTATGAAAAAGAGAAGTTCCATTTTCTGGACTTGGGTATCCTACTGCGTCGGTGGCACAGTGGTTAGGACTCTCGCCGACCACGCATATGGTCCGGGTTTCGAGCACCCGCCGACGCACACCTGATATCTATGGTCGGCCTGCAAAATTTGGGCTACCGATATCTAAGCTGAAAATTCCATACTTGTACCAAAAACACAGTGTGGAATCAAGCTGTAAATCAAGAATAAAGAATAAAGACGGCAAAATCATAAAATATATACACAGAAAAGAGACCTGGAGGGCGATTTATCTTAACTTCAAAAGCTTCTGTCCTATAAGTTACAAAAAAGGATTGGTGATAACATTATTTGATCGTGTGAGGAAACTGTGTTCAGAAGAAAAGATTGAGGAAGAGCTCTCCATTGTGGAGAAATGCCTACGCGACAACGGTTACCCACAAAAGTTCATCGAGAAGTATGGGAGACGTCATGTTGAAAAGGTGAAAAGCAGCACAAGAGATAAAAAGTCAATCTTTTTGCAGCTTGCATTCAAAGGTGGTGATACTGTTAGTAGAATAAGATGCAGACTGAACGCTGGCCTGAAAAGAACATACCTCCAACTGTGTCTACCAATTTACATGTTGTACGTGCCAAAGCACATACATTGGAAGAACAGAGAGAAGGATTAGTGTCCGCATTTATGAATACATACATACCAAAGAACCTGAGACTGAAAGGTCCACAAGCATTAAACAGTGCGATTGCTCGTCATCTATTCCACACTGGTCATATTGTAGACAACCTGAAATCGTTCAAAATAATCAAAAAGCAAAAGAAACCTAGCTTGCTACGCTTTGCTAAAACAATTGCCATCAAACAACTTAAACCAAATCTATGTACGCAGATAGAGACAGTGGTGAATCTTGCACTGCCCTGGTGATAACAAAAAAATATACCACTTTCATGAGTCACCTTTTTCGTGTTTAGAAAACTCGACTCTCTCATCTAAACACGACTCACCCTACCTTGTTTCTTTTCTTTCCTTTTTTCAATTGGCTATTAGATAAGACGTTTTCTTTAGTTACGTAATCCACTTTTTTGTTATGCTCTTTCTAGCTAAACCTTGTTTCTACATACACACACATATATACGCAACCCTGTTGTTTTGTTTCCAAGCCTAATTGTCCAATTATTCTATAAATAGTCAGTGTTTGTAACTCCTAATCGATTAAATCATTCCGAACTGTTACTTTTAATTCCTACTAATTACTCCTTATGGTCGTGGAAAAGTATGTTCATATCTTTAATGTAATTCATACATTTTTTATCGTTCAGGTTGTAACCAGTTGAGAAGAATCCTCGATTAAATAATAAAAGATGAACTCATATTATCATCCTGGTACAATTGTTGTTCTTGGTTTGTTCAAGTTTATTAATGGGAGGAGTTGCATGAAATATTATTATTAATAAATTAAATGACAACACACTGAAATAAAAAATAATAACTCACCTGATAATTTTTCCACGCTTCTGCTTTCTTAGCCATTTGTTCTGCTTCAGCATGTGCTATGGCCTCTAGTGCTTCCGCTTCAGCTCGACCACGTAATCGAATTGATTCGGCTTCTGCTTCAGCCTCAGCAATTAAACGTAAACGATCCGCTTCGGCTAGTCGTTCTAAACGGAATCGCTCAGCTTCAGCTGGTTTACGTATAGTTGCGTCTAAATGACGTTCTTGTCGTACAATTTCCAACTCTTCTACTTGAATTTGTTGAGTTTTTTCAAGCACAGTGATTTGCATTTCTTCTTCTTTGATTTTTTGTTTCACTTTTGCGGCCTGTTTAAAATAAAAAATTGTGGATACGGGTCATTTTGGCGAGATCTATAAATCCTTCAAAATATTAAACATACAAAGGACAGGGAATCTACTACAATTTAATGGTGAAGCAATTGCAATCAAACGTCTTCTCGAACCGAACTCAGGCACACAGAAAGAGAGTGTAGTTAATCTCTCAATCCCTTGGTAACCATATCACTTTTATTACACTGATCAGTCATACACACTAGTGGGCAAGTTTTCAAATTGATGAACTTTGACCTTCTTGAATTGTCATGTTGACACCGTTTATTCGATTTTTCTGTTTTCTGTCTTCTCTCATACCCCTTCATTTTTCTTTTTTCATAGTTGATAGTACATAAATTGATGGTAACTTAAAGTAAAAATAATTGTAATACTTATATTCCAGATGCATTCACCTTAAAATGTTTTCTCCAACCTTGTGTCTCCTCTTCAGGTAAAACAAGAAGTCTTTTCAGAAGACTTTATGCACGTACGTCTAGGTATATAAATTCCACTATACCATATTTGGCGGTACGTATTTTATGTGATGAAAATAGTGATAGGCATGAACTAACTAACCTTCTTTGCACTATTAAATAAACCATTTGCTCCTCCACACTTACAACATTTATTTATTTATTTTATTTTTGATTACAGCTTGATTCCACACTGTATTTTTGGTACAAGTATGGAATTTTCAGCGTGGATATCGGTAGCCCAAATTTTGCAGGCCGACCATAGATATCAGGTGTGCGTCGGCGAGGGCTCGAACCCCGGACCATGTGCATGGTCGGCGAGAGTCCTAACCACTGTGCCACCGACGCACATCAACCTTTATTGTTGTTGTATTTCTTATATTTATAATCCTCTCAATTTTGTTTTATTTTTATTTGTTTATTTTCTCAAAAGTATAAACATCATTTAAGCTGTGTGGATAACTGTTAATTTTGTATTTCCCCTCACCAAACTATTTCAACAGAACATTAGACTCAATGCCTCTACAACACGCTAGAATTTCCAAACTGAATCGATAATACTGTTTGAAACAAAGTCACTGTTATTACTATTATTATATTTAATATTTTCATTTTGTGTTTCGAATATTTTTGACTGTATATCGGAAACGTGGAGAACTTCCTGCGGTTAATTTTGTTTTAATTTTATTTATATTTTCAATAAATCAGATGCAAGGTGTTGTGACGAATGCTGAAAATTCCATTCTGTATTACATAAGTACTGTCCGTTTCGGAATAAAGTAGATTATTATTTGTAAAAATTTATATTTGTAGAATCTCAGCTAGATTGAAATGAGTAATTCCAACGTTTCCTGCGTTCGTCAATCTGGTCCGAACTTCTTCAGGGGAATCAATCGAAATTAACATAACAGGTTTATATATTAAAGGAACATCTCCTGTTTTTGAAACTTTGTCCAATCATGATTCATAAAACAATTATTAACAAGTATAATAAACAAAATTGTATGAACTGTGATCAAAATTTGACCTCGGACCTCTTACAAATATTGGTCTACCTTTGTTAAACACTTTAAACACAGTGTGCATGCGTGTGTGTGTGGGTAAACAGTTCTAAAACATTTCTTAACGTCTCCATAAGAAAGTATAGACAGTCAGGGATTTTGACCAAGTATTATTAGCTAGTGATACATATCCATTCTTATTTATTAACCAGGATTTCCTATGCATCAGCTGACATCACACTTTCATGTCTTTTCAAACTGTTAGTACCTAGAATTTTATGATTAGACGTATTTTCAAAATTATGGTGTTTAGGATTAAAGTTTAGTTTAAGCACCCTGTCGAAATTATTACTTTGTCTTCTTTCTGAAGATTGAGCTGATTTATTCGACCTACTGGAGTTGTCAGTTGACTAGACAGCTACGGATTTAGGATATGCATGCTACAATTTTCTTTATTATACTTGTGTAACAACAGAAGACAAGGGCTGGCAACAGATCGTTTTATTACGAAAATCAACACGTATTTATATATATTTTATATGCATTAATAAGGCTTATGCAAGCAGAAAAAGGCAGTCTTCTGATTGGTTGTTTCTCGGAAGTTAAGCAGACAAACACAGTCTTATGATTGGTTGTGTTCGATATTTCTCGGAAAGTAGAGCCATCTATCTGCGAATCATATTTGTCCACATTTAGGTTTGCTGTGATTGGTTGTTGAAACAGCCTTGTTCACGGTCAATATTAGTGACCTAGACATTAACGTAGATTAGTGCCAACCAATCGGCTAGCAGCCTGCTCTCACCACACTTGTTAATACTTGTTTTATGAATCATGATTGGACAAAGTTTCAAAAACAGGAGATGTTCCTTTAGTATATAAACCTCTGTTATGTTAATTTCGATTAATTTCCTTGAAGAAGTTTGGAGTGGATTGACGAACTCAGGAAACGTTGGAATTACTCATTTCAATATCGCTGAGATTTTACATATATAATTTTTTTATTACAAATGTCTACTTCTCACTCGGCGCCCAAATATTTTAGAACTATTCTGTCAAATCTTGACGACAGTTCATTTGAATAAATTATTATTACTATTAATATTATTATGAGTAAATATTATTTACTAAATAACAACACTGTGAGACCATATCAAAATAAATTTCACGCATAATGAAATTTAATGCAACAACTATTTTTTTGGCTTACTTGTAATTCATAAGCTAATTCCGATTCAGCTTTACGTGCTTGCACCTCTTTTTCATAACTGGCATTCTTCAACTCAAAATCTCGTTTACATTTAGCTATTTCAATATCATTCGAGAGTCGACCAGCAACACGTTGTTTCTCAGCTTCAGCTTCTTTAATTCCAGCATCACGACGTGCTTCAGCCTCACCGATACGTGCATCACACTTCACTTGAGCTGTTCTTGCCAATCCTAGTGAGTTTAAATAACCCTTGAAAGGAGATAATAGAGAATATATTTTTAAAAAAATAGTACATTCAAGAATGGAAACAACATGTGTGATTCTCTCTCTCTGTACGTTTTCGACATAGAACTTTGCACATATGCGCACCAGTTCAAGTTGCCACACTCCATGTAGCACACAAAACCAGAGAAGAAAGTACAAGAAAAGCATAATAGAGACAGTAAACAGAGGTGTGAGACAAAGGAATAGTAATTACAAAAAACAACATAGTTTCATTTGAAATCATAAGTCACAGGGAGTGGATGCATCTGCATAATCCATTGAGAACGGGTATTTTGAGCCATATCACCAATTGTCTGTCTCTAGCCGCCATTGGTTCTTACCATACCGAGAACCATAACCAGTCAGGCAGTCTACACCTTCCTACATGATTAGCTGGCTGGCTTAAACTGACGGATACCACAATGAATTGAATGAAGCAACAAACAATCAATGAAACTTATCGCGTGCTATTACACGTGTTGCAATTTCCTTCTTTCCTTCCTTCCCGATGATAGTTTACGAATACTGTTTGAACTTGTTAAGCATGACTGTTTTCCTTCCAGATGAAGTTCTTTATCCGTTCTCTACTTATATATATATATATTTTTTTTTCTTCTTTTTTTTCCTTTGATCTAAGTTGTTTTATTATTATTGTGTGGCGCATCCTTCTTGGTGCCATATTGTACCAAGTTTTTATGCGTTTAAATAAAATAAAATAAATAAGACGGCGTAAACTGGCGTATGCGAAACTAGCCTTCTATATCCCTGCTGGGATTTCGTCAAAGATCAACCCGTTGGCGTGAAGTGATGGTCAACACACCTCGCCAACCACTTCACTCCCTATTTCTAAACTAGGAGTCAGTGTAGTGTAGTCCTGTAGCGTCAATATCTTACATTTGGAGGGAACGAATCGCATGCCAAACATTTGAAGATTGCATCGGTTGATTTAAATACCACCCCGACTAATTCCAGCCTCATCCAGAACCCTACGTAAAACCCCTGATATTCCCTTCTTTATACAGCAGTACTACGGAGGCTTTGAATTCTAAGCTATATTTCTCCACGTCCTAGACTTAGATATCCATAATAATAATTAAAAACAACAACTCATAGGCAATAAGCACCCATCGGATTTCAAACCCAAGACCTTCTGATTACAAGGCAAGCGCCTAGTAGACAATTCACAGTCACTGTGACCCGACTCAATGACCATATTCATGAAGGGAAATAAGGTGTGTGTGTGTGCACATCTTTTATACTGTCAACCTTGCTCTTCCTATTCTTACTTTTTACGAGTTGATCACAGCTTGATATCAGTTAGAGAACCATTGAAAACCAGGGAGTACTGGACAGCTGCTATTCCACTCTAGTTTCCGGAATCATCGGCGGTACGCACCCACTGGGATTCGGACCGTAAAAACATAACTAACGCTTACAAACCAAACTATAGAAAATTAATATGATGCTCGCTAGTGACTTGATACATCACGGAGTTTTCTTGGAGTGAGTTCTAGTGAGAAGTTGTGACCAGTGAGGTTCAATTAGATGTTACAAGTGTGTGGATGGATGTCCCACCTACGACAATAGTTGGGGGGGGGGGGTCGCACTAAATCACGAATTGGTAGAGTTGGTTAGAATTCATGAGCCACTGAAACGGGGTCCCAGTGGCTGAATGGTATACGAGCCAGCTTGTCTTGTAACCAGAAGGTCCTGGGTTCAAACCCCATGTGGTGGATGCGTACTGCCGATGATTCCCAAGCACTAGGATGAAACAGCAGCTGTCCAGTACTCCCTGTTGTTGGTTTTCAATGGTTCTCTAACTGATATCAATCCGTGATCAACTCGTAAAAACATAACTAACGCTTACAAACCAAACTATAGAAAATATTCTTACTTTACCAAAGTTAATCAAGATAGAAATTTTAGATTAACGATAATAGAAATAATGATGATAATAATAACGGTAATAATGATAAGAATAATGAGTAACTAGTGAATAGTATACACAAAATATATAGAATAACAATAAAATAGAGACGATCAATATGAGAGAAAGAAGAAGAAGAAGAGAAAAGAATGCACGACCTTGAATAATTCACTGAACCAAAAACTCTCCAGTAATAGTTCAAATAATTAGTACAGAGAAAATTTATAACGGTTCTCCCTGATACTACTAATACTAATAATAATACTACAATTATATGAGATGAAAGATACATACATCAATTAAGATTTAAATAAGAATATTATAAATCCATATACTAGAACAAGACATATATTATGAAGAAAATAATAGAAAAATTCAGCGAAGAAAATTTTCTTTATCGACAAAATCGTCTTCAGAGTCGGCTATACAGTTGTATTTATTATTATTATTACTACTACTACTATAATTGTTCCCTTGAGTGTTCCTAGTGGAACATAGGGCTTCAACTGCACGTCTCCACTTACTTCTGTCTTCCTTCTGCTGTACTTTTCACCTGCATCCATGTCAGTCCATACTCTTTCAACTCCTCTTCACACGACCTCGTCCATGTCACCCTCGCACTAATGTCCCCCCCGCGCCGCTTCCCTTTCGGGTTCTACTCGAGCAATGGCCTGCATATTTGTTGGGCGATTGGTACTTGTTTTGTTTGTTTGTTCCTTCCCATAGTTTCTTGTTGGTGATTCTTTCCAACCCGGCCATCTGATATTCAATATAGAGCGAAAACAGTTTTTGATGATGAAGGTCCGCAATAGCCTGTTGGAAATATTCTTTGTGACCCGCCCACCCGCCAAGTTTCTGATCCCTTCCGTATAGAAGAACTGACTGACTTGACGTTGTTTGCATTGAAAATCCGACTGAATTTTGTCGTTGATTCTGGCTGAGTGACGAAGATTTCCAGATTGGTTGTTTCAGGTTGCTGAATGTGTTTCTCGCCTGCCTTCCCGATTCTCGCTTGATTTGACATCCTCGTCCGTTCCGACTGTCTGTAGTTGAGACAATGCTCCCTAGCTAGATAAGTGAATGAAGTAATCTCTTTCAAATCCTTCCTGTTGATGATGATTGGCGCTGGATGTCGCTGCTGCTGTTGTTGTTGTCGGTTGGCTGCTTATTTTCATAACCTCCGTCTTATCTATGTTTACCTGGAGTCCTTCCTATCTTTGATGCTTCCTCGACCAGTTTGTCGGTTTTCGCTTGTGAATCCTAGATTTTGTGTGACATCAAACACAAATCATCCACGCGCGAAATCCAGGTCTTCTAGGTTCTTCACGTCGGTCTAGGATATATATCCCTGTCTTCTCGTTTCCCACTCACTGTCTAACGCATATTCCAGTCAGTCCACCGCAATTAGGAATATCACTGGTGACAGATAATAAGCACCCTTGTCTGACTCCTGTGTTTACTCGAAACGTCTCACTGAGTTTTCCGTTGTTGATCATTTGACATGTGCCGTTGTCGTAGGCTGTAGTACTCGAGTCGTTTCCAAATTATTTCAACGTCAACGCTGTCAAAGGCCTTTTCAAAGTCTGTAAAGTTAAGGTAGAGGTTTGATACCCATTCCATGCTTTGTTCTGTGATGATGGTGCGTAGAGTTGCAATTTGGTCACTGCATGATTTGCCTTTCCTGAATCCAGCTTGTTCTGGTCGGAGTTCTGTATCCAGTGCGTCCTATATTCTCTCCAGGATGATGCGACTCAGAATTTTACTTGGAGTCGACACGAGCATAATTCCTCGCCAGTTCTTGCAGAGTCCTAAGTCACACTTCTTTGGCAGTTTAACGAGGTAACCTTTCCTCCAGTCAGTAGGCACCTCTCCCTCCTTCCAGACCTTTTGCAATAATGGAGTGAGTCAGCATGTCTGCTGTAGTCTGTGGGTCTGCTTTCAGTGAGTGCTTCAGGGGGTATTCCATCTGGTCCAACTGCTTTTCCAGCTTTCAGAAGCTTGATTGTGTTCAAGACTTCAGCTGTCGTTGGAGGATTGATCTCAACTTGCAGTTGTGTACGTGCTGTTGTTGGTATTTCTGGACGGGTTGCATTGCAGGTGATGGTCGGTTCAAGAGTCCTTTGAAGTGATCCGCCCATTGTTTAATCTGTCTTTCTTCCTTGGTGATTGGGTTCCCTTGGCTGTCTTTTATAGGTTTCACTTGTGTTGATCTCTTCCTGGATAAGGACTTGGTTATCTGATATAGTGTCCTCAGGTCCCTTTTGCCTGCTGCCTTCTTAGCTTCAATGGCCAGATTCTCGTAGAATTGTCTTTTTTCCTTCCTAGCACTCTTCTTCACTTCTTTGTCCAGGGCTGTGTAAGTTGAACTCATCGTATCTTTCTCTTGTCCGTCTTTGCATTGAATCATTTTCTCTTTCACTATTCTCCTCTCCTTTACTAGTTGTATTTATACTTACAAAAAATACACAGTGGTCTATTATTGAGTAATAGATTAGGGGTGACAATTGATATAACTACTCAGAAGTGGCACAAAGAGAACTTGCCACTACGTCCATTCTTGGACATGACAAATACCCATATCATGCTAAATGGCTCGCAGACAACCTCCTTCCTATGCAGAAATAAACTCTGCAAGCATAGTGTTTCTGATTCGTTTGAATTTGTCGATTCAGCAAGTGATGCCAATGTATCCAGGAAGAAAATGATATCCACAGATGTCATTTCCCTTTTCACCAATGTTCCCCTCACTGAAACTATTTGCTTTATATGCAAATTCATTGAGGATAATAATGTAGACGTGTGTGTTCCGATCTACTACTTAAAGGAACTACTTTTGAGGTGCACTCTAAATGTCTAATTCAAGTTCAACAACATGATTTATTGACAAAGAGATGGAGTGGCAATGGGGTCACCATTGGGTCCTTTACTTGCAGACTGCTTCTTGGCTAGTTTGGAGAATAGTATTTTACGGCCTACTATCGACAGTTTCCATTTGTACTAAAGATCCAAAACAGTTGGTCTAAGCCATGTAGGAAGGTGTAGACTTCCAGGCTGGGGTCCTCGGGACGGTAAAAATCTATGGTTGGAAACAATTGGTGACATGGCTCAAAATCGTTCTCAGTGGCGCAGATGCATCCACTCCTTGTGACTTATGATCTCCAATGAAACTGTTTTGTTTTTCTTTATTACTCCTTTGTCTCACACCTCTGCTCACTGTTTCTATCATGCTTTTCTTGTACTTTCTTCTCTTGCTTCGCGTGCTACACGGAGTGTGGCGACTTGAACTTCCGCACATTTGTGCAAAGTTCTATGTCGAAAACAGACAGACAGACAAACATAGATGATACTTTCATCATATGTGACGACAATACCGACATCGAATTGATAACTAAAGAGTTCAACAGCTGCCATCATGCCATCAAGTTCACGTCGGAATCAGAGGTTAACTCGGAATTCCATTTTTCGGATGCTTTTCTAAAAAGGAGACCTGATAGTTTTCTTCAAACGTTGATCTACAGGAAACCAACATGAAAATGGTCAGTACACAAATTTCCATAGTTGGGTCGCTTTGAGAAGAAAGAGAAATCTGATCCATTCCTTATCCTCAAGAATAAGGAGGATATGTTCAAGTGATACAATCGATGAGGAACTGGGGCGACTCAGAAAAGTTCTCATAGAGAATGGATATCCTCCAAGATTTATCGAGAAAAAAATGAAGTTAAGGGAAAAACCTGAAAGAATTCAGACGGTGCCGAAGAAACTGCTCTTTATGAGTGTTGAATTTAAAGGCGATACCGCAGCTGAGATCCTGAAGAATCGCTTATGCAGATCACTGAGGAAATCCTTCTTTATGGCTGAGCTAAGTATCCATTTCTACAGCCGATAAATGATCAATGGATGTGTGAAGGATAAACTGCCACTTTGGGCCACCTCGATGTGTGTTTATAAATTCACCTGCTCGTGTGGAGCTAGTTATATTGGCCGCACAAAGCGACCTCAAACTTTCCAAACGTATCTCTGAACATTATCCGGCATGGTTAGCAAAGGGACAGTGCAAGACAATTACTAGCTCAATTCTCGAGAATTTGGTGAACTCAGGCCACGTAGCTCCACCAGAGTCGTCTTTCAACATCATCTACAAAGTGAAGCCAAATGGTACAAAGGGTGTCAGGTTTCGGCTTTTGTGTATGGCGGAGGCGATGGCAATTCGTCAATACAACCCTGAACTCTGTATTCAGCAAAAGTTTGTCCAGTCTCTTATTCTACCTTGGTCTTAACCTCTTCACAAGTCGTTCCCTGTAAAAAAAAAATTTAATTTATATTTACTTTTTTTAATTTTTAATTTTACTTTTACTTTGCTTTTGCTTTAATAATTAATTCACTATTATCACTCTCATATGCTCCTTCTGTACATTTCACACCCGCTTCACACTTGTTAAATTGACACTCAACTGCCACCTTTATTCTATCTCACTCAATAGCAATTTTAACCTTATCAAACTTCTATCTTTGTGCGGTTGAGTACCATGTAATTTACAACTTTTAATTTTCACTTCTAAAGCCACTTCTGAGTAATTATATCAATTATGTCACCCCCTCCTCGATTACTCAATAATAGACCATTATGTATTTTTTGTAAGTATAAATATGACTGTAAAGCACAGTCTCTGAAGATAATTTCGTCGATAAAGAAGCATTTTCTTCGCTGAATGCATCTTTTATTTTCTATATATATATATATATATATATATATATATATATATATATATATATATATATTAGTGAAAAATATCATTCTCAATATCTTAGGTCTTCATCAGGTCAGCTGGCTATTTGATCTTGAGTATTGAGCCAGCCAGAGAAGGTGGCAGCTGTTGAAAAAAATTCTGCAACCTGTTGTGAGTAATTTACATATAGCACAAATACATCACACCAAGTTTTCTAAATAATCTAACAAAATTATGCTGTCCTTCGACATCGAGTCACTTTTCACCAATGTCCCACTCACAGAAACGGTCTGCTTCATATGCAGATATATAGATGACAACCACCTCGATATTGGAATACCGACAACATACTTGAAAGAACTATTATTGAGATGCACTCTGAACGTCCAGTTCACATTCAACGACACCATCTACAGACAAAAGGATGGTATTGCAATGGGATCTCCGTTGGGTCCACTACTATCAGATTGCTTCGTGGCAAGCCTCGAGAGAGGTTCACTAAAGCCAAGCATCGACAATTTGCGACTGTATAAAAGATACGTGGATGACATTTGTGACAACAACAACGACCCCAATCTGCTGCTGAAGACATTTAACAATTGCCATCCAGCAATAAAATTCACTCTTGAAATGGAAAACGAGTCAAAAATTCCGTTTCTTGATGTGGAACTGACAAGAAGAGCTGATGGGAGCCTAAGAAGATCAATCCATAGAAAACCTACGTGGAATGGTCAACTAACAAGCTTCTATAGCTGGGTGCCCATTCAACAAAAGCGAAATTTAATTAAATCACTTGCTACCCGCATCCGACGCATCTGTAGTCCCGACGTTCTGGAAACAGAATTAGATATTCTGAGAGAAATATTCATCCAAAATGGATACCCAATAAGATTTATCGACAAAAATATGAAACCAATAATTCGGAAAAACGAAACTTTAACTGCGCCTAAAAAGAAAATCTACATGAATTTGGATTTCAAGGGAGATTTAGCAAGCGATATTCTCAAGAGAAGGATCACATCATCTCTGAGAAGAACGTTCTTTGCAGCAACGCTACGAATAGTGTTCTCCAGTCGCCCACTGATCTGCAGAAGCCTCAAGGACAAGATCCCGCATCTGGCCACTTCTATGTGCATATACCAGTTCACCTGCTGCTGTGGAGCCAGGTACATCGGTCGTTCGACGCGCATCCTGTCCAAGAGAATTCAAGAACATTATCCAGCATGGTTGCGAAAAGGCAATACTGGTGCAATAAGGAGTGCGATAATTGAACACCTGGTCAACACTGATCATTGCATTTCAACGAACGCCTCCTTCAAAGTAATCTACAGAGTCAAGAATAACATATCAAAGGCAATACGGTTTCGTCTCCTTTGCATCGCTGAAGCTCTGGCCATTCACATGGAAAAACCGGAGCTGTGCATACAAAAGAAGATTACTCAACCACTTCTACTCTCATGGTAACAATGTTTTGATTTGTTTTGAGCTTTTATTTTTATTTTGATGACTTAATTTTGTTTCTTTACCTGTTCCTTAATTGCTTATAATTCTTGTATTCACTTAAATCTCTTACATAGTTTCGTATTATCTACTTTGTTTCTATGTGCATCCTGAGTAATAATAATAATAAATAGTAATAATTTTTCCTTCACGTTCCCAGTGGAACATAGGGCTTCAAGCCATTGGTTTGAAGTTTCTGTAGCAGTGTATATTTTACAGTATGGGGTTGCTAGCCTCATACCCAACCTTTCCTCTTTACCAGCATTATTTTTGGCCCAGTTGAGGTAAAGGAGTGCGTCGGCAGGGAATCGAACTCCGGACCATGTGCATGGTCGGCGAGCATCCTAACCGCTATGCCACCGACGCACTGCATCCTGAGTAGAACTCACTATTATTATTACAACTGTTTGTGACAACTCATCACCTTTGTTACTACCCTAGTTTCATTAACACTTAATTTTCTTGACTTGTATTACCAACCTCCACTTGTATAGTTAAAAGTAACCTTAACCAATTGTAATTTTGTTTGACAAACTTAATGTACACATACATACAAAACAATGCATATATATTTGCGATTGTACAGCTAAGAAAATGAATTCGCCGCCGAAAAGAGACTCTTCACTGATCTACGTGTTTTGTTTTCATTAAATAATCTCCATCTTATAATATGACACTATCAAAATTAAAAAAATATTTACCGAAGACAACTTTCACTTGAAAATAACCGCTCAAAATAAAAGACAACAAAGGACTGGACAGCTGTTTCGTCCTAGTTTGTGACTCTTCGACAGAAAAACGCACCCACCGGGATTCGAACCTAGGACAGATGAAGTGTCCCAAACTAGGCTGACGAAACAGCTGTCCAGTACTCCCAGGTGGTTTTTCAATGGTTCTCTAACTAATTGTCAGCGCTCATGATGAAATCCTGTAACCAATCAATCAAATCCCTAAAAACCAACACTTGAACAAAAATTTTTTTCAGGAAAGAATTTTATCAGCTCAACAAAAAAAGCCTCAACACATACCTCATCATCTTTGATATCTTTCAGCGTAAAACTAACAACACTAATTCCCATATTGACTAAATCAGAACTGGCGACTTCAAAAACAGCTTTAGAGAATTTCTTTCGATCTTTATAGATTTCTTCAACTGTCATATTGCCCATGATAGCACGTTGATGACCTTCAAGAGTTTCTTGAGCTATTTCACGTATTTCATTCTCTGATTTACCCAGGAATTGTTCACATGCAGCTGCTAACATTTCTCTATTAGTCCCATTGATTTTTACCTAAAATTGACAAATGAAAACAAGAAGAAGGTTGAAATTAAAATTGAGAAAAGATTTATTCAGAAATCTTAGTAAACAAGGTAAGTAATGTTGACGTTAGGCGTAGAGTGTTGGGCAAAGAGGGAAATCAATCAACGAGGCTATAAAGTCACATAGATGGCATAGAGATGGCTAGGTCACGTGGTGCGCATGCCTAACCATCGCTTCCCTCCCCCCAACGGGCATTACTAGCTGATATAGGTGCAGGTTGGAAAAGGGTAAGTGGTGGCCAAACAAGAACATGGCCTCATCAATCCATGAAATCCTTGACAGTTAAACTGAGTCAGGTAGGGAGGGAGATGCAGACTCCCGGGTTGGGGGCCTCGGGACTGACTCCAACAATCAATGGCTGGAGACAATAGGTGACATGGCTCAAACTCATCGTTGTCAATGGCCAGCGCAGATGTATTCAGTCTCTGTAATCTTTCATATTCCTTTCTACAATTACCCATTCTGTTTCACTCTTATATTTGTCAAACTCTATTGATTCTCTTCACTCATCTTCTTGTCTACTTTTGTGTGTGTGCTATTTGGAACGTGGCAACTGGAACTGGTGCACTTCGGTGACAAGTTCTATGTTGAATCCAGACAGACAGAATAAACAAGTGATTTTATACATTTATTCCCCTGAATGAATTTGAACAAAGCAAGAACTACAGTTTTTGCAGAATAAACTGGTACCATCTTTGTATTTCGTTGCCTTCTCGTCAGCTGCTTACATGGCAAAGACAGTATATCTACAGAAACAATTTTAACATTCTTATTATTTTCAAGTATTGGTTTTGTAGGGATTTTGTTTGATTGCATGGAGGATTTAATCATGAGCTGACATCAGTTAGAGAACCACTGTATCGGGTCCCAGTGGCTCAATGGTCTACGAGCTTGCCTTGTAACCAGAAGGTCCTGGGTTCGAATCCCGGTGGGTGCGTACGGATGAAGAGTCCCAAACTAGGACGAAACAGCTGTCCAGTACTCCCAAGTTTTCCAGTGGTTCTCTAACTGATGTCAGCTCATGATTAAATCCTCCATGCATTCTTATTATTGTTCCCTTGGGTTCCTAGCGGAACATAGGGCTTCACAACTGCATGTCTCCACTCGCATTTAGAAATTCAATAACAGGTATAACCTGGTTTATCTATGAGTTAGAAGAGAACTATTTTATAAATCAGGAACACAAAAAGAAATAAATGTGAAACGCAGTGATCAGACGATAATGCGCCTTTTAGAAGACAATGTAGAGACTTCTGAATAACTTGAGCAAAACTATACTCCTATTTGGCATGCAATTATGTCCTGTCAAATGTGTAAAAATTCTACAACACGTGTCCTAGTTTAGCAACACAGAGTGAAATAAATGAATGCATGAACCACTCAACTCTTCTTTGGCAACTTTCATCAATCTTAACGAAATTTCAGCGCAAGAGTACAAACACATTGATTTGCATTTGTCAAATTGCATCATCTTTAGCGTGAGTATGAAATCCAGCTGTTGATCCAAAGAATCTATACGCTGAGCAGAATGTCATTTCATCCCACTTTATAGCCAAAAGAAATGACTATTTAAGGTAATTATTATTGTTTCCTTTAGTTCCTAGAGGAACATAGGGTTTCAGCCGCACGTCTCCATTGAGTCCGGTTCTCCGCCAACGTTTCCACACCCACTTACATGCTTTCCCCTCCTCTTCACATCACCTCTCCTCCGCCATGTCACCCTCGCACTGACAACAAACTAACCGCTTCCCACTCGAGTGTGATATCACTTGGTGGTTTTTTTTAAAGAGTATGACCAATCCAACTCCATTTCTTCCGGCATATTTGTTACACAATTGGTTTCTACACCAGAGGTTGTTACGTGAATGTCTAGGTGACAGGAGAGCAACTTTTTGGGTTGCTTCCCTCAGCATCAGAAAAACAGGGAACACGGAAATCGGAACAACACCAGAGAAGGGAAAATTTTAAAAAAACATCACAACAGAAAGGGCAGCGATAACAACAATAAAAAAAAAGTCGTAGCAGTAATATCACTGTCAAAAGCACAGCTAACAAAAATGATATTAAAACCATAGACTCGCTGACTTGGGTCAAATTGGATAAGTCCAACAGTCGCAATATGCCAAACAGACAGTTATATGTATTATCAGTCAACAAGATTATATCCACAGATAATTACAATAAATTCCACCAATTCCTGTGGCAAGAAACACCAGAGAAATCTATTTGAGGTAAAAACAAGTGGAAATTGCAGCATCTAAACTATAGGTGCCTTTAAACGGTTATTCAACTTAGATGGAGCAACCCAATAACAGCAAACGACATAGTGTGTTAGATAAGGAAAGAAACTTGATCGATGGAGTTGCTAATCTCTGTCAGTTGAATTGGCTAGCAAACGTGCTATGCATCTCCAGTTACCACCTTAATCAATAAGCAAAGTCATCAAAAGTAAAATTGAATTGAAGTAAGGTTAGATTAAACCAAAGATTTGTGGTGAAGTTCAACAAATAGCGTTCCAGGAGTGAGAACGCTCCATTGACCTTGAAAGCACGCTAGTCTTTGGCTAACGACATCTGTCATTATCATAGCTGAAATATCAATGCTATTCACCAACTAAGCAGCAAATCTCACACAGATTACGTTTTTAGGTGTTGTTTGAACAACGTGTCAATGGCTCGTCAGGGTTTGGATTAGGGTTAAGGGTAAGTATTGAGGTTAGGGTTAGGATAAGGGTTATAATTAGGACTAGGGTTAAGTATACTATTAGGATAAGGGATGTAATTAGGGTTAGGATTAAGGTTAGGGTTAGTGTTGAGTTTAGGGTCAAGGTAAGGATAAGCTTAGGGTTACGATTAAGGATAGATTTGGAGTTGATGTCATTTGCTACTACGGGGGGTCCCATCGACAATTATACATCTCATCCAACAGTTATACGACAATGCTGCATTCCGCCAAGTAATCCACAACGGGAAACTTACGGAAGCCTTCAAAGTGAGGACGGGAGTGAGACAAGCTGGCTGTCTATTATCACCAATGATCTTCCTGATTGCAGTAGACTGGATAATGCGACAGACAGTGGGCAATGAGGAAACAAGCATAAAATGGACTCACACAAAATACTTGGAGGATTTGAACTTCGCCGATGATATATGTCTGATTTCCCACAAACTGGAAGATATGCAAGTGAAAGGCAACAAGTTGGCAGAAGAAGCATCAAAGATAGGACTTCAGGTGAACATAGAGAAAACAGAGGTGATGAAGATTCTTGGCCAACACCAACAGCAACAACAACAGACGACAGTCAGCATAAATGGGAGGAACCTGAAAGAAACAACCTCCTTCACCTACCCACCTACCTGGGAAGCATCCTTTCAACTACAGGCGGACGGAACTGACGAGGATATCAAAGCGAGAATCCGAAAAACAAGACAAGCTTTCATTACTCTTAAGTCCGTGTGGAAGTCAACAGCACTCAGCATCAAAAATAAGATCCGGATTTTCAACTCCAATGTGAAGTAAATGCTACTCAGTATATGGTTCAGAGACTTGGCGTGTCATAAAGAGCATCTCCAACAAACTTCAGACCTTCATTCATTGTCTTCGCCCAATACTCAAGATCAGATGGCCGGCCAGAAAAGATCAGAAACAAGGAGGGATCTCTGGCAATCAGCGAACCAACCAGGAACAAATTTTGAAACAAATAAGCAAGAATAAATGGAGATGGATTGGCCATACACTGAGGAAACCATCAAGTGGGAAGCGGCGAGTTGGTCATCAGTGCGAGGGTGACTTGGAGGAGGTCATGTGAGGAGCAGATGAAAGCATGTGGACAGACTTGGAGCGGGATGAAAAAGTTGGCAGAAAACAGAAGACATTGGAGATGCACTGCTGAAGCCCTATGTTCCTCTAGGAATTAAAGGATATAATAATAATAATGTCATTTATTTTAATTTGTTCCATTATCCACATTTTCCTGGTTAGTAGTTGTCGATCTTCTCAGTGGAAACCATATTAAATCAACCGAGGGTTTAAGGGAACACTGCCCAACAGTATAAGAGAGATAAACGATTCACAAAAACAGCTGGACTGGACTACGTCAACGCCTAGCTTAGTGATAGGGAGTGAAGTGATAGAACATGTTGACCACTTCACCTATTTGAGAAGTTGTATTAGCAATAACCGACTGATTGGCGACGAAATCTCAGTAAGGATCCAAAAAGCTCGAGCTGCTTTCGCTGACTTACACCATCTCTGGCGTAGGCGTGACATCCGGTTATCAACCAAGGGACGTGTGTACTGCTCATCAGTTCGCTCCGTCCTTCTCTTTGGCTCTGAAACATGGCCAATACGCGTTGAAGACACCAAAAGGTTGACTGCTTTCGATCATAGATGTCTGCCATCCCTGTTTCACGTTAGGTGGTTTAACAAGGTAAGTAATGTTGACGTTAGGCGTAGAGTGTTGGGCAAAGAGGGAAAATCAATCGACGAGGCTATAAAGTTACACAGATTGAGGTGGCTAGGTCAGGTGCTGCGCATGCCTAACCATAGCCTCCCCCGACGATGGGCATTACTAGCTGATATAGGTGCAGGTTGGAAAAAGGTAAGTGGTGGCCAAACAAAAACATGGCCTCATCAATCCATGAAATCCTTGACAGTTAAACTGAGTCAGGTAGGGAGATGCAGACTCCCGGGTTGGGGCCCTCGGGACTCTAGGAATCAATGGCTGGAGACAATAGGTGACATGGCTCAAAATCGTTGTCAATGGCCAGCGCAGATGTATTCAGTCTCTGTAATCTTTCATATTCCTTTCTACCAATACCCATTCTGTTTCACTCTTATACTTGTCAGACTGTATTGATTCTCTTCACTCATCTTCTTGTCTACCTCTGTGTGCTATTTGGAACGTGGCAACTCGAACTGGTGCACTTCGGTGCCAAGTTCTATGTTGAATCCAGACAGAGACAGAGACAAAAACAGCTCATCTTCAGTCTCCTCCGTGAATCCATGTACAGAAACTAGTGTAACTTAGCAAATGACACTCCTCAATATAAATGGCACGTATTTTTAAGTAGTGTCTGAGATAGATACCTTGTTTAATGTGTTTTCATGCATTTTCCTGTAAGTAAATATACGTCATTTTTTGTGTAAGTCATTTATTCTTATGATTGGTCAACTGAAGGTCACTCGTGCGTTCGCATCCCTTGGGACGCTATTGTTGAACTTTGCCAGATTTGTATCAATCCGTAATATTTCTGATTATTTTTATTTAAGATGTTTAAGGATGTGTAAATTGTCTTTAATTTCATCTAAATTTCTTTTCCCTACCTTAATGGTTATATGTAATCAACGCTTTGTTTTAAATAATACAATAAACATGCTGTCTACAACAAGCCAACAGCAAACGATCCATTCAGTTGTGTGAATGAAGAAGAATTTGTAGCGGAAAAACAAAATGAAGTGTATAATAAAATGTAAAATACTTTTTTAACAGGTAGGTATATATAATTCCAAAGATAAACGTACTTGTGCAACACCAGTCACTGTAATCGGTACGCCTAGTTGAGTGTAGATTCTTGGACTTTCAATGATTAAAGTCATTGTATTCAATGGAATTCTTCATTTTTGTTTGAAATTATGCAAAAGACGATAAACAATTTTTTTTTTAAATATGTTACAACTAGCTAAAAAAAATAATAAATCTTTACAGAAATAGAGAAGGTGAACTACTACTGATCAACTTTAAAAAAAGGTTACTAAGCGTTTATTTTCAAACTACATGGTTAAGCTAGTTTAAGAATTACACGACAGATTAATATGCAATGGGAAAGGTAATTACTACTGGTTATATTTCTTGACCTTAAGGCAGCATTCCATTCTGTCGAACGAGAGGTACTCTGGTGATGCTTAACCGTGAAGGGAATGCTGAGAAAATACATTGCACTGATTAAAGCACTCTACTCGAACTCATGCAGCCAGGTAAGTGAGGGCATACGGCGAGTTGTCATCTGAAATGGTGGCAACTAGTGGTGTCCATTATCGCCATTTCTATTCAATTTCATCATAGATGTACTGATGAACTTAACCATAACTCACTCCAGAGACACAGGGACTGATTTGTTACCGGGGAATAATCTCGTTGACTGAGAATATGCAGACGATATAGTCCTTTTAGGGGAGGACGTTGACAAAAGTAAAAGCAGAGTCTTCTGAGCACCTTGAGCTTCAATCTACGAATGTTTGGCATGCGATTAGCTCCCGCCAAATGAAAGATGATGTTATAGGACTGGACCACACTGGCTCCTAGTTTAGAAATAAGCAAGAGTGAAGTGGTAGAGCGCGTTGACCGCTTCACTTATTTGGGAAGTACCATCAGCCAGTGCCAAGGGGTTGGTCTCTGACGAAATCTCAGCACGGATACAGAGGACTAGTTTCGCATATGCCAGTTTACGCCGTCTCTGGCGGAGACGTGATATCTGACTATCGACCAAAGGGTGTGTGTACTGCTCAGCAGTCCGCCCCGTCCTCCTTAATGAGTGTGAGACCTGGCCATTGAGAGTGGAAGATATAAAAAGATTAGCTGTCTTTGATCATAGGTGCCTGCGCTCTATCTCCCGTGTGTGTGTGTGCGTGTGTGTGTGGTGAGCAATATTGAAGTTAGGCGCCGGTCGAGTGCTAAGTAAGGAGGGAGGGGAAATCAATCGGCGAGGCTGTGAAATTGCATCTACTGAGATGGTTAGGACATATGTTGCTCATGCCTGCCTAGTCATCGCCTTCCTCGACTGACGGACAATGTAAGCTGACATAGGATGGGTCTGGCTGGAAAAGAGCTAGCGACAGTCAAACCAAAACATGGCACCAGTCAATGATATCCACAACAGTTAGTCTAAGCCACGTAGGTAAGTGTAGACTTCCGGGTTGGGGTCCTCGGGACGGTGAACACCAATGGAGGCTAGAGACAGACAATTGGTGATATGGCTCAAAATCGTTCTCAATGGATTATGCAGATGCATCCACTCCCTGTGACTTATGATTTCAAATGAAACTATGTTGTTCTTTGTTATTACTATTCCTTTGTCTCACACCTTTGTTTACTGTCTCTATTATGCTTTCTTGTACTTTCTTCTCTTGTTTTTTTTGTGGTGAGTGAAGTGTGGCCACTGGGACTGCCGCACATCGGTGCAAAGTTCTACGTCGAAGACAGACAGACAGACAGACGGACTACTGGTTATCAAGTGATGAACTAATAATTTAGAGGATAGGATTCTAAAAATAGAAACTAAATCAGCAACTAGTACATCAGATCAGTTTTCTGAGAAGTTGTTACACTGTCTATACAATGAAAGATTAAAGGGGGTTGCAGACCTGTAACATGGAGGCGTCAAGATTCTTACTTAGATCAGTCTGTCTGTCTGTTTGTCTGCTCTAAACATACAACTTTGCACCGATGTGCAGCCGTTCAAGTCGCCGGTCTCCCTCCTTGTAGCACACAAAGCCAGAGAAGAAGAAAGTAGAAGAAATGCATAATAGAGACAGTAAACAGGGATACGAGACGAAATGAAATAGTAATAACGAAGAACAATATAGTTTCATTGGAAATTATAAGTCACAAGGAGCGGATGCATTCGCGCCAACCATTGAGAACGGGTATTTTGAGCCATATCACCAATTGTCTGTCTCCAGCCGCCATTGGTTTTTGCCATTCCGTGAACTCCAACCAACAAGTCAAGAGGTCTACATCTTCCTACGTGACTGGTTGGCTCGCTTAAACTAACTGTTGTGGATTTCATTGACTGATGAGGCCATTTTAGTTTTGACTTGACCACCACTAGTATCTCTTTTCCGACCTGAGCAGTCCTGTGTCAACAAACGTTCCCCGTCGGGAATGGTGATCGATAGATAGGCATGCATGTGTAACACATGTTCTAATCATCTCAATCGATGTAACTTCACAACCTCGTCTATTGATTTCCCCTGCCTCCTTACCTAGCACTCGACCAACGCCTAACCTCAGTATTGCTTACCCTATTATACGACTTCACACGGGAGATCAGTAAGCTAAGCCTTCATTTCAAAGTAGTAAATAAACACTAACTACTGTCTATTTCTACTACTATATCACTTAAGATCAAAATAGTCTTAGTTGACATTGATACAACTTTTAAGAATATGATACAAAAGGATCTTGTTAGGTTCAAAATGGAGGATTACTATGTAAGCGTCAGTAAATGATTAAAAAAGAATACTTGACTAAATAAGCGCAACTACAAGAAAAACTATAAGAAAATCTTTGAAAAAAACGCCCCTAAAGTGAAGCTGTGACTAAGGAATTTATATCCCGAATTCAATATATAATGGTTATTTCTATAGCAATGCTGAAATCAAACTCTAAGTGCTATCTACTTGTACACATTACATTCATCATGACAATTTCAATAAAGGCTGTGGCAGGTTTTGATAGGCAATCAAACAACCTAAATGGAACTTCTTTTTCTTTTACTTCCCCAGTGGAACATAGGAAGGCTTCAAGCTAGAAGCTTGAAGTTTCTGTAGCAGTGGTGTTCATTGTTTACAGGATGGGGTTGCTAGCCTGCCTTCCCACTTTACCAGTCTTACTACTGGCTTAGCGAAGTAAAGTAGTGTGTCAGCCGGGGATCGAATCCCGGACCACCTGAGTAGTCGACGAGGACTCTACCGCTGTGCCACCAACGCACATAACATATCATTAGCGAATACTATGATTCGCCCACTTCTGATATAGGCTGCAGTCAGCAGGTCTATACAACTCTCTCTCTCTCTCTCCATTTTCACAAATAGAACTTAAAAGGAGTTAATTTTTCACAAATAACGATAGAGAATACTAAAATGCCGGTGAAGTATCGCGAAAATGAATCATATCATTGAATATAATCAAATCTTCATATCACACACTATGAGTGATTTGACGATGACAAATAACGGATCAGACAAACCACACTAGTGTTTGAAAACAAAACATCCTAATTTCTACACATTATAACTATTCTTAAAGTACCATGAATAGACTCAAATAACAATTCAGTTTGTCCAAGCTAACTCACTGCAATTTGCCGTAACTATATTTATTATTATATTTTTTTAATTACAGCTTGATTCCACACCGTATTTTTTGTACATGTATGAAATTTTCAGCATGCAATATCGATAGCCCAAATTTTGCAGGCCGACTATAGATAGCAGGTGTGCGTCGGCAGGGGGTCGAACCCCTGATCATGTGCACAGTAGGCGAGAGTACTAACCACTGTGCCACCGACGCCGTAAATTAGCAGTATTTAAGGTTGAGAATTAATGTACTAAGGTACAGGTTACTTTCTTCTCTATGAATAAGAAATGAGAATGATTTGAAACCCTACTGATTATAGTGTGATCACACTATCATAAAGAGATGAACCTTCTGACATTATTACTGATAAGGTATAATGCGTCGGTGGCACAGCAGTTAGGACTCTCGCCGACGATGCACATGGTCCGAGGTTCCAACCCCTACCGATGCACACCTGATATATCTATGGTAGGCCTGCAAAATTTGGGATACCGATAGATATCCATGCTGAAAATTCCATACTTGTACCAAAAATACAATGTGGAATCAAGCTGTAATCAAAAAATAAATAAATAAAATAATTACTCTATGCAAAATTTATGTGCACATCATTTCACAGTTTTCAGATTACAAATGATTGCACTTGATTAGCATGATGTCTGTCTGTTTTCGACATAGAACTTTGCACAAATGTGAGGAAGTTCAAGTCGCCACACTCCGTGTAGCACGCGAAGCAAGAGAAGAAAGTACAAGAAAAGCATAATAGAAACAGTGAGCAAAGGGGTGAGACAAAGAAGTAATAAGGAAAAACAAAACAGTTTCACTTGAAATCATAAGTCACAAGGAGTGGATGCATCTGCATAATCCATTGAGAACGATTTTGAGCCATATCACCAATTGTCTGTCTCTAGCCTCCATTGGTGTTCACCGTCCCGAGGACCCCAACCCGGAAGTCTACACCTACCTACGTGGCTTAGACTAACTGTTGTAGATTTCATTGACTGGTGCCATGTTTTTGTTTGACCGCCGCTAGCTTTTTTCCAGCCTGACCCTATATCCGCTAACATTGCTCGTCGAGGGAGGCGATGACCAGGCATACGTAACACATGTCCTAACCATCTCAGTCTTTGTAACTTCACGACTTCGTCGATTGATTTCCCCTCTTTACCTAGCACTCGACGCCTAACATCAATGTTGCCCACCTTATTATGCCACTTTACACAGGAAATAGAGCGGAGCCACCTATGATCAAGGACAGCTAGTCTTTTCATGTCTTCCACTCTCAGTGGCCAGGTCTCGCTCACAGCCATAAAGGAGGACGGAGCGGACTGATGAGCAATACACCCGCCCTTCGGTCGATAGTCGAACATCTCGTCTACGCCAGAGTCGGCGTAAACTGGCAAATGCGAAACGAGCCCCCTGTATTCGTGCTGAGATTTCGTCAGAGATCAACCCGTTGGGGCTGATGGTACTTCCCAAATAGGTGAAGCGGTTAACGTGCTCTACCACTTCACTTCCTATTTTTAAACTAGGCGTCGATGTAGTCCAGTCCTGTAACATCATCTTGCATTTGGCAGGAGCGAATCTCATGATGACATAAAAGAAGTGAGAAGTTTTAAACAAATTTCCTAAATCAAGCAAAGATATGGAGAAAAAAACCTGTGCAGTACTCTACTGAGCTAGACTGAATATTATAGAGTTTAAAGAAGACAACTTACCTTTCGATTCTTTGTATACCTGGCCATACAAATACCCGCCCACCAGGAACCAGAAGGGGACGTTTGTAAAAGCAGCCTGAGATAATGTGTGTACTCAAAATAAATGAATAGAAACTAACCAGACACGACCATAGCCTCGTTCGGCCCGCATGTATTGAAACCCCAACCCATTATTCAAGCAAAAGCATTAAAGAAAACAAATGAAATCGGTTGTCTGTTGTTCACACAACTTGAATGTCAGGCGAGGTGAGGCCTTTAGGCCCACTGAAGGTGGTGGTACTCTAGGAGTCGTTTAGTCAACGAAAATCAAACCTGTAGAGAAAGAATGGAATGTTTTGTTTAGTATACCCATTGATAGCTGTTTCTTGATTCATATTTAAAACAAGAGATGGACTTTTTTTATATAAACATACAATTCTATTTATTTATTTATTAAACATGTTGATACCTGTTGCATAACTCATGACCGGACAAAATTTTAAAAACCAAGAGGTGTCCCTTTATATAATAATAATAATAATAATAATAATAACAATGATTTACTTTATTCCAAAAACAGTACTTGTGATACAGAATGGAATTTTCAGCATTAATCACAATATTGCATCTAATTTCCTCAAATTATAAATAAAATTAATCACACAGAAAATTTTCCACATTTACAATAGAGGTAGTGTCAAAAACATGCAGCATATTAAATGGAAATAATAACAATAATGATAACAGCTAGGGTAATAATAATAATAATACAAGTGAAAATTGCCGTTGGCTTCTGTCACACAGTATTGGCAATGTGGTATAGAAATCCTAACATGTTTAAAAATATTGAATATAATGTTCTCTTTACATGATATGGTGAAGGGAAAAACAAAGATTACAGCCGTCATGGAGATAAGTTGGTGTTTGCAATTATGAGAGTAAAAATAGAGAAGTAACAGGACCATAAATATAATAGAAATAATAAAAGTAAAACTTGAAGGTATATAAGGATGGATGGAGGAAATTGTTTATTTACTAGATGAAAAAAGGTTAGTTAATTCTTGCCTGACACTATTTTCATCACATAAAATACGTGCCAAGTATGGTATCATAGAATTTTATACTTAGACGTGCGAGCATACAGTTTTCTGAAGTTACTCCTTGTTCTACCTGAGGAGATGCAAGGTGAAAGCTGAGGGTAAAGCGGATGCTCCAAGTCAGACAAAATCCCTTTAGCAAATTTATTGCACGAAGTCAAGTGCCTATCGACAACGACGTTAACTATGTGGTCCACTGGGACACCACTCACCCTACTGACAGTCTTCAGTATTCTACGAATTGTGACATAGTCTTTTTTAAGCAAACCAGGAAAGAATAAGGGTGAACAATAAAGAAGAATAGGTAGGATGCAAGAGTTTATGAACTGTAAGGAGGAGGGGTTGAGTTATACCCGAGTGTCTTAACTTCTTAATGTAAAATGTCAGGCGGAATATTTTACTGGAGATTGCTAAGACATGGGAAGACCAGGAGAGATCAGAAGAGAGAATGAGTCCAAGATACTTAATTTCTGATTTGATTCCTATATCATTGTCGTCAATTTTACAACTGTCATGAGAATCGATGACTTCTTTTAACTGTCGTTTACATCTTAAGCTGAAATCAACAGTTTGACACTTAGAAGGATTCAGTTTAAGACCGTTAGACTCAGACCATTTGCTGACTTCCGATAGAAAGCTATTTATTTTAGTACAATCTAGCTGGGAGTTAACAGCCATTGAAACCGTTAAATCATCAGCGTACTTCACAAAGTTTATTTCATCAGAGTGAGGCAAGTCATGCAAGAAGAAAGAAAAAAGAAAAGGAGAAAGAACAGCGCCTTGAGGGACACCAGCTTCAGTAGGCAATGAAGTGGAAGACTTCCCTTTATATACGGTGTACTGCTTTCTATCTGAGAAATAGGAATGTAACCAGTTAACAGCCCAACATTCTGTTTGACTAGCAGCAAGTTTATTTAATAAGATGTCCCTAGGGACCGAGTCGAAAGCAGATGTATAGTCTAGGAAGGCACAACGAACAAATTTAGCCCCTCTGTCTAGACTGGAAGCAATGTTATGATATAAGACGGCAGCTGCATCTAAAGTGCTTCTACTGTGCTTATAGGCAAATTGTTTAGGGTCATTAAAGGATTTAAGCGAAGGTACAAGACTAAGTAAAAGTAATTTCTCCATAGTTTTCAAAAAAGGAGAGGTAATAGCAAATTTGACACATGCTCCAGTAGAAGATTTAGGTATGGGTACAACTTTAATGTCCTTCCAAACGGCAGGCACAATATTATCGGAAAAAGATTTGTTAAATAGATCAGTAAGAGGGTGACACAGAATATCAGAACATTTTTTAAAATAATACTAGGTACATAATCGGGACCTAAGCTCTGGGAAGGGTTTAGAGACTTGAGGCACTTTTGAACATCATTTGTGTTAAAACCTGGAAAGGGGCTATTATTAACACAAGTGATGCTGGGAAGCATGGCATTTGAGGGAGAGTAAATAAAAGATTTGTTAAGAGTACATACATCAAAAGAATATGGAATATTGTTTATCTGCTTACCACCAGTGATTTCCTTAAATAGTTTCCACATATTAGAAGGATTTTTGCAGGATATGAATTTCTGGTTATATATTACATTCAACCTCTGCATTTCAGACTTAATTAAGAAGTTAGTTCTTTTTACACCACTTTTATCTTTCATCTTATACAGTTTTTCCTTCTCTCTACGAAGCTTTTTAAGTTGAGGCGAGGAGAAACGGTCAAATTTGACGAATAGTGTTTCTTTTGGACAACAGATTTCAAAACAGAATTTCAGATAGGATGTAATATTAGAGATATTGTCATCAAGTGAATCAACATTAAACAAATCCCATCTTGTGTCACTGAGCATGTTTCTAAGATGATGTACGTTCTCATTTGAGTAGCATCTGTGAACAACTTTCTTAGACAAGTTTGAGAGGCTTTACTGTGTAACTTTCCGTAAATTTTGGGTAAGACTCGTACAATACAATGATCAGAATTGAACAGTGGGGCTCATTTACGAAACGTTGGAATAAGTCATTTCAATTTCGCTGAGATTTTACATATATAACTATTCACTTATGACAAGCCCACGGTTTAAAAGTCCAAAAGTATTTGAACTTAAATGGATTAACTACAACAAATTAAAACCTATACTTATCATGACTGAAATACAAAGAAATATGAAACACAAAAATTCAAAACGAATTAAAGCGGGGAGGAGGAGATGAAAAATGAAAACCAATAGATTAAAAAGGACACTTGCCATAAGTGAAGTGTAAATTTTTTCCATTACTGAGCACAGTTTACGAGGTTATTTACTTAAACCTTGGGAATCCAAACGAAACAAGGTGGGGGTGATTGTATTGATTCATAGACGAAAACATATACTTCCCATAAGGAAAATGTTAACAGTTGTGATAACAGTTCACCCGTCATCCCTTTTCATATTAAAAGTACGGATGTTTGCATAGAGGTATATAAGCAGTATGCCGTACATACAGAGATCATTCTTACAGGATTTATATATCATGCAGGTGAGTTCGATTTTGGGTGTATATTTGTCCAACTCTCTTATAAGGAAAACAACTCCGATAATGTGTTAAATACGGGTACTCAACATTCTACAACAAGTCGTAAGAGAAGGATATCTTCTGGCAGACTACATGAATGCCTTGGATACAGCTACTCAACATTTTATAGCCGTCAAAAACGGTTACGTGATGCAGCATTTAGTGACTGGGACTTGTGGAAACGTTACTGCTCATCTAGAGAAGAGGTGGCAAGGGATAATACAGTAACTTTGTCTTCAAGTTCAACTGTACAGGGAACAGTGGGTTTACCCAGTACTAGTGAGATCATCGCTGTTGTTTCACAAATTGAAGAGAATCGTAATATTTATTGTGTAATAATTAATTTCAATAGAACTTCAGGTTGTTCCTGAAAAGATGACACAAAAAGAGCTGGTCAGAAAGTCAATTATGGAATTGTCCCTTCAAAACAATGTAGCAGGGGCGCTTGTGCAAAATGTCTTGGACTGTATTCGTTTTTTTAATCCATATGTGCCAACAACCATAAGAGGCTTGCTAAAAGATAGCGGCATGTGTGTACCTAGATTTCTTGGACAAGGTGTTTACTATCATATTTCCTAATGGGAACCAGACACTTAGAAATGATAGGACATTCCGTGGTCAAGTTCAAGCAAGTCACCATCGGGGCAGAAGCTGTCTTGACGAATTGCCACTTGACATGGTAAAACCATTTCCCTTGGAGCCAATGCATCTAATATACCTTGGTGTTGTTAAGAAGTTAGTGTTCCTTTGGCAGGGTCTTGCAGCACGGCGAGAGAAGCAAATGGATAGTAAGATTATTGCAGATATTAATAACGGACTGCAAGTAAGTAGGAAACACATTCCTTGTGATTTTCAGAGGAAATGTCGGCCGTTAGTTGACGTTAGCCAATGGAAAGCAACTGACTTTTCTTACTATATATGGGTCCCGTCCTACTTAGAAACACTCTGCCATGCCACCTGTACGCTAATTTCAGATTATCCCTGGCAGTATACTTACTTTCGAGTACCAAATACAGCCGACTGTTTTTGGATGCTGCTCGGACAGATTTGAGTAATCTCTTACTGCAATATGAGAATTGTTTCGGAAATGAACATATTGTTTACAATATACATTCTCGGATGACGTCGAGCTGCACGGGCCACTAGAAGAATTCAGCGCATTTCCCTTCGAATCCTATATGCACAAGATAAGATAGTCCGTGCACTATGGTTATGCTGTGGCTAAGCAGACAGTTCAGCGCTATGTTGAACACATGTACTTAATGAAAAGTACAGGTGATAAGCACGTACCTAAAGAAGTTGGTACTAAGTGTGTTGAATTTTGCAAAGGAAAGCTGACGTATCTGAATACCATATTCACATCTTATTCTCCGGATAATGTCATCTTAGCCTTAGGTAAACCAGGGAATATAGTTGAAATAGAAAGTGAAGATAGGATACGTTCTCAACCCTATAGCGATTATAGTGATTTTACTACATTTAAGTCAAGGAATTTAGGGATATTTAGATGTTCGAAATTCAGTCACGAAACACACTGAATATCCTATGTGAATATTGTCTGCAAGTGCATGACTGTTCCAACAACTAATGACGAAGTAGTTATCCCCCTGCTTCATACTCTTAATTGAAAGTACTGTGCCGTAATTTTTGGCTTGAACTGTTGATATGTAATTCGTCTAAGATTTTTTGTAA